CAACTGATTTTTACATTTTATTTCTTTTTAAAAAAATCACTTTCTTAGAATTTAAATTTATTAGTGCTATAATAGAATATGCTTATAAATTCTTAGTAGCAGTAGATTGAATTGATTGAATTGGTGATTGTTAGTTTTTGAAAGAGATGTGACAGCATGAAACATTAATGAATGTTCTACTGGAATTGCTAATGACAGATTCTTCTGATGAAGGGTTTTTTTATATTTTGAGATAGGGTCTTGTGATCTTGCCAAGCGCTGTCTCCACCTTTTGGAATCAAGCAATCTTTTCACCTGTTGCTGGCACTACAGGCATGTACCACCAGGCCTTGCTACTGGATGAAAATTAAAACGAAACTTAAAATAAGGAAACATATTTGTATTTTATTTTTTTCTGTGTTGAGGGTCAAGCCCACATGCTAGGGAAGTGCTCTACCCACTGAATATATCTCCAGGTTTCTATTTTCAACATGTTTTAGTTAAACTTGAAATATTCATGTTGACTGAGTACTTATTTTCAATCCAAAATGCAGCATGACCGAGTTTACATTGCAATCATTTAACCCTTATGTGCGGTGGGAATTATTATATTTCAGTTAGGAGGAATTAAATGCTAGTGTCAGGTTCTCATGATTAGAGAAACGTAATCATTATAGGGATCTTAGCTGGGATCAAGAAGTAAGTACTGGTAAGGTGGAATAGATGTGTTGGTCAGATGCAGAACCAATGTATAGAAGTATAGTAAGTGATCACAAACGAGGAAATGATGCCTACATGACTGGATTCAATATTGGGCAAAGAATGTCCATGTTACTTGGATTTTTATTTTCTGCTATGTATGTATGTGTCATACAGGCTGCAAGAAGTACAATTTAATTAATTTAATAACTTACTTAGGCCAGCTAAGTGCTAAAGTTACCTTTTTTGTCCTTGAAGCTATGTGTGAAGGCTATTTAAAACTAGGAATAAATTCAACAAAAATAAAAATTGTAAGTGAATTATTTGAGACAGTTGTTCACTTTAAATTTTTTGCTTATCTTTCTTATAATAAGAAAGTCTAAAGTTGTATGTTTTTTCTGTTAGGGCTGGGAATGTAGCTCAGTGGAAAGCACAAAGTTGTGGGCTCAATCTTAGTTTCAAACAACAACAAATGAATTTTAAAAATATTTTATCATCTTCTGCCCTACATCTCTGTCTGAAAGTTCAAAGTTTAAGTAGGTCAAATCTATTATAGTTGATCTAATCCTCTTTGGTGCAAAAAATGGGCATTAGAATTTCTTATAATAATTGCTTTGGTTAAGTGGGATTTAGACACATTTTGAAGTACCAGGTGTGCTTATATGTGTACAAAATTTTGAATTTGGTTATTTATAATACAAATTGTAGTGCATAGCTGCTAAATACACACATCTATACATAGTCTGTACATGTACATTAATTTAAATTTTTAGAATATATAAAACATGCTTGTCTTATAATGTGGGCCAACATTGGGGAATTCAATTAGAATATTTTATTTGCATTCTTTTATATAAATGTTAACAATATGAATTTCTGCTATATACGTCCCTTCATTCCCAAGTGAAGTTACTCAGGAGTGCAAAATTCTTTTGCATCTGTATGTCCTCTGACTCTGTTGCTACTTTATCAGTAATTAAGTAGGTGTTGTCATGGTAAATAGAAAAATGTTTTATCTGTCTGTATAAGTAGGCCCACTGCTTGTAGCAGATAAGAGAGAGAAAGAGACAAAGTGTAGTGAAGTATGAAAACTAAAATGCTTTTTAAAAAAGCATAATTACCTTTAAGGGAGTGATTACTTTAATATTATTTTTAGGCAACATGCAAATATCATAATTGAAGACTTAAAAGGAAATTGCAAATATTATAATTTTAAGAAGTATGTACATAAATAATAATTTTATTGTAGCTTAGAATATGCACTAAGTGGTGTTTGATCAATGAGGATTAAAACAAAATTACTTTTAGATCACATCTGTTTACACTTTACAAAGATTTTTCTGAGGGAAGATCTATACAATTGGAACTTTTCTGTATCTTTCACCAACAAAGCACTCAAATTTGTCTTCATTGACCTAGACTCTGATAAGTTGGAATTGTCCTTCAGAGTATTTGTATTTAATTCTTTCTCTTTTCTGTGGATCCAAAAATCATACAACAAAATAAAATATTAGTTTACAGTGGCATATTCATATCCAGGCACTTTGTTTGGTTTAATAAGTAATGCATCTAGTATAGAACTTTGGTGCAATGGAATTACTTGAAAATGAAAATTGGGAGGGGATGTAGTACAGTGCTGGAATACTCACCTAGCATTTGTGCAGCTCGGTTTGAACCCCAGCACTGCAAAACAAACACAAAACCAGACAAATGGAGGTGGGAGAAAACCATACATTGTGTATTTTGTTTGACAGTTACACACACTGACCAATAAGAAACACAGTATGATAAACATTGTATGCAGACAAAAGTGCTATGGTAATTCTGAGAAACGATGTATTATTATGAAGGGGGAAGTTTGGAAAAAACTTCTTGGAGAAGGTAAATCAATTTGGAAATGCTGTATATGTCAAATGGATGTGAGGAGGGAAAGATGATATTTAGCATCAGGATAAAAGAAAGAACAAAAAAAATGGAAAGGCTGAGACGTTTTAGACAATGGAAAATTAATCAGTTTCCTAGAGCAGATTTGTAGGTTTTGAGCTATGGGGACCAGGTTTTCATCATATCTCCAGACTTTGCTTTCAGATTTACTTTAAGTTTCAGAGGTTAACAGCTATTTTATCTTTTATTATTACTTCCAGCATTCTCTTGATCATGCTTGTCCTAATTTCACCCCTTTGCTTAAGTTTTTTACTCCAGAATCAGAATACTTTTTTTTATATCTCCATACATGGACCAGTTTCCCATTACCTAGCTGGTAAAGAAGCAACATATGTAGAGTACTAAGCATGATGCCTGAGATATACTAGGTGCTTAATAAATACTTCTTTCTTCCCTGTTTTTTTTTGCTCATATCACTTTCCAACTCTGAAATTTCATGATTTTTTTTTGTGATGCTGGAGACTGAACCAGAGTTTTGCACATGCTACACCATTTAGCCATACCCCTAACCCCTTCACGATTCTTATCAGATTGTATAGGTTCTTATGATTGAATTGGTTTTACACACTGCTTAGCATGTTGTATGTTTATAGAAACTTGTCACAGTTGCAGAAATTTGAGTAAAATGCAAAGTGAATTTTGATAAGTGATGAAGCAAAAACTGAATTTAGCCTCAATCACTCCTTCCTCTCAGTAAGTTGAATAGAATTTTGCATATGTACATGTGAGTGTCATGGATATGTAGAGATTCAGCACATTGGGACAGAATTCAAAATTTTTCCATGGGAACTGCTCACTTGTTTTCAAGTCCAGAAAAAAATCTGCTTTTCTTTTTTCTCCTTCCTCCCTTATTTCCTTTCTTCCTTCCTTCTTTCCCTCCCTCCATTTTCTCCTCCATTTTTCTCTCTCCTTTTCCTCTCTTTCTTGCTCCCTCTCCCTCTTACTCTTTCCCTCCTCTTTTCAATTTTATCTCCTTGATTCTTTTTTTGGAGGTCTTGCTATGTAGCCCAGATTGGCCATGAACTCAAAATCCTCCTGCCTCAGCCTCCCAAGTGCTGTGATTACAGGTGTGAGCCCCATGCCTGGCAATAAAAAGCTCTTCTGTCTCCAGAACTAAGATCATAACATCTGTCATACTTACAGGAGAGATTTGAGGGCATGATACTATGATAGGATTTTAAGTTCATTTCTGTGTAGAGCTTACAGTCAGCACGCTCTCCCCTCCCAATCTGTCCCATCTCTATTATATGGTTCTGTGTATACATGTATCCCCTCAACAGAACTGAAATTTAAAGCCTTGAAATTTGAAGCTTATTCAACTTAATCACCCTTAGCTGCCCTCACATTCCACAGTGCTTTACCTACTGTATATATACAATGAAGATTTATTAAATATCTAGCTATTCAGAAAACTAATAATCCCACTTACTATAGTAGGGTTACTTGAACTGTGGCAGCACACTCCTAGTGGGTGAGTGACCTGAGGGATAGGAGTTTCCTTATTCCTCAGACTGTAACCATTTTGTTGCATAGTTCATGTTTTCAAGGAGTACATCTGGTATTGTGTAAGGGGAAAAATCCATCAAGCCATAACTACCTGGGTATGAACCCCGTTTAAGTCATATGACTTTGGGCATGTGACCCAATCTCTCTGTATATTGGTATCCTCATCTGGGAAATTGGAGTAATAATAGATTTTATATTACAGCATTGTCATGAAGATTTACTGAGTTAGTACATATAAAACATTGTAGACTAGCACTGGCACATCAAAAAGTGACCATAAGAGTTAGTTCTAATCTTATATTCTGCTAAAGTTTTATAAATGTTAACAGGTACAAGATACTAGTGTGGCAAATGGAAGGAAATGCAAGGGTATCCAGAAAAAGGAAGGCAGGAATATATACACAATCCAACTCTAAGACAATACTATCTAGGCAGAAGGTTATCCCTGTTATGAAGTGTGAGGACAAGGTGCTATATATACCTAGTGGCAGAACTGCTATGCCCCATCTCATTCAGGTACATACGGATCAAAGTTGCTTCTCTTGTGGTAAAGTTGCCTACCTCTTGCAGCTGTTTTTAAAAGCATGGTCAAGTTGTAAAAAAATGTATTTCATGTCAGATATTTCCTATTAAGAATATTTATAAGCATTAAACGATACTATCAAATTGTTTTTTTAGGCATGTATACATTTTACAAGGAATAGTGATGATGTTGAGTAGTTTTAACAGAGGATTTAAATATCAGTGATATTCAGAAACATTTGTTTTAATAATGGAGACATGTATATATTCTTTTAATAGACTTTAGAACTTTTATTTTTTGGAAAACAAAGCTATGAACATTTAAGCATAAAGTAATAATGTTAGGAAAATCATTCTTTATAGTAAAGGTGCAGCTATTGGAGAAGACATATCATCAAGGAAAATGCTGATTTGTGAGGAAAATGATTAAGTTTTAGAAGAGATGACTATAAATGTACTTGTGGCAATGGAATAAACCTTTTGGATGAGCGTATTTTCTTTGAACTATGTCAATCATTCTCATGTCCCATTTGTCTCTGAGAGCCACCCTAATGTAAAGTACGTAAGGGTCAAAGTGACAACAAGGGTTATAGCTTTCCCATAAAAGACAAAAATAACTATTCTTCCTTCCCTCATTGTCAAAATCCTTCCTGTATAAGGATCTCAGAATCCCTTTAGTTAGCTACGATGATCTGTTGATGGTATCAGAATAGTGTAATGTGAAACTTTGCAAAATGAAGCAATTTATTTAAAAAAAAGTCTCTTATGTGGCTACTTCTGAACTATTTTTATAGCAATAGAGCTGTAAATAATTGAAAGATTAGCTATCTATAAAATTGAAATATAATTTTCTTTTGCCTTTATTAACTATTTTCTGAAAGTTACATCAATGCAACGCTTCAAAATGGTCACAATCTACCTTATCTACACATTTTCTCCCAGATATTTCATCTTCTAATAGGAAATCAGGGTTTTTTCCATAGTCATTAGTTTAATAATGAGTGCAAAACTAATGGAGTTCTGGGTTGGTGAACAGCTGGGGTGCTGGAAGGGTGGTACACCTTGAGAGGGCATGGAAACTCCAGGTATCCCCACCACCATGCTGTGTTCTGGGCATCTCTTCCATATGGCTCTTCCTTTATAATAAACTAGTAAGCCGGATATGACCTTGGATGTTGACACACTAATAACCTCACCATTTTGATGAATGATCTGAAGCATGTCCAGTGTAGAACTATGAAGCCAAAGCTCAACGAGCATGCTGAGAGATTCAGTTACTCATTTTGTGTTTTGGTTTCATATTGGTTCACCTGTGGCACCACTACTGGGAGGTGAGTGCAGCAGGAACATGCAAATGGGATGTGAGGATCTGCAAAAGAAAAAAAAAATCTCATCAACACGAAAAGACAAAACTGGCTTTAGAACTTGAACTGTGGACTGTAAATAAAGAAACAGAAGCTATTTCTCTACCACCATCACAATGCCTGACACTGCCTTCTGCATTGAACTCTTAAGTACACACAGTGGTGCTTTCCCTACATATCAGTACTGGAAACATTTTCCTTTTCAACATTAGCAATGGACCCACACCTTTATATTCACCAACATTTCTCCTTTGGAACCAGAATACCTATTCTTTTTGCCTTCTTATATTTTTATTTTTTTTAAAGAGACAGGGAGGGTTTTGTTATGTTGCCCAGTCTGGCCTGGTACTTCTGGGCTCAAGTGATTCTCCTCCCTCATTCTTCCTCAGCCTCCCCAGTAGGGGAGCACTGTGCCTGGTCTTTTTGTGTTCAAATACAAACCATGGTGACTAGGGCACCCAGAGTAAGTGTCCTATGATGCAACCAGGTTAAACCAGTAAAAACTCTGAGTCATAGTATATACAAACATGAATATTTAGAACAATGATATGTATTTAACAGTAAGTAGTCTTCTATGTTGACACATAAAATATTATAAGACAAAACGTGTGCAAACTTTTCCAGATTGTAAACATAGACTTTAATAATCAAATTTTACTTAGGACATGCACTAAATATCATATGTTGACAAAGAATGTTGCTTTGGGGCTGGGATTTGACTTCGGCTTTTGAACATTCAGATCAGGTGAGAGCATTCCAGGTTGTTCTAAGGATTATCTAGTATACTACAGAAGTTTTGACTCAAAGCAACATACATATTTTAAGTCTTCATTGGTTAATTTTATGTATTTATTTTTTGTGGTGCTGGGGATTGAATGTATTGCGTTAACACTCCACTCTCTACATCCCCAGCTTTTTTTTTGAAGAGATGAGATTTGGGGTGAATTCTTACTATGATATATTGTAAGAAACTCTGTAAATCTCACAATGTACCTCCAGTACAAGGAGAATGAAAATAAAGCATATACATTAAAAAAAAAAAGAGATGGATTTTGCTGTGATGCCTAGCTTGCTCCAAATTCTTGGGCTTAAGAGATCTTTCTGCCTCAGCTTCCCAAACCGTTGGGACTGTAGGCATAACCCACTGCCTCCAGCTCAGAACAGTATTTCATTGCATCTAAGAACTGCATGACCCATTAAAATGGAAGCCATTAAAATGAGTCATCTATTTTAAATCAGTAAAATTGATGTGTAGGATTAAGCAGTTATGTGTCTATAAAATATTCTGAAAAAAAATACAAGAGACTAGCATTCTCAATAATTTTTCCCTGTCCCTAGCCAGTCTCTCAATTTCTGCTGCAAATTGGCTTAAGGATACTTTTTTTTTTTTGTGGTACTGAAGTTTGAACCTAAGGCTTCACTGCTTGCTAGGCAGGAACTCTACTGCTTAAGCCACACCTCCAGCCAAGAATACTCATTAATTACAAGTTCACTAGGAGAGTATGATCTGCCTGACAGTATATATAATTTTTAGTTTTTGTAGTGAAAGCAACTATGAATGTTTGATATTCTTGTTAGTAATGCAGTGCCTTTGCATTTTAAGGAATATGTTTGTTATTGACTATTACAGAATATTGTGAAATTAACATACTGTGAAGAACAGAGGGTATTCAAATTTTATTACATTTGGCAAAAATTAAGTAACAGATTGCTTGGTGGTACTCACAGTTTTCAGTGGGGGCCTATATCTTAATCTTCAAAATCAGGAGTCAGGTTATGTGGGTTCAAGGAAGTGATTTTTCTTTCCCACAACAATTGTGGTAAATTGACTCCCAAACTGATTATAGATGACTTTATTTTTGTGCTGTGATCAGGTGAAGTTGTAATTAGCCCAAGTTTTGCATATTTATGCTTACTTCTGTTTTGAATTGCACGAAGTGACTAAATTTCTCCATTGTTCTGCTTGAAAAACGTAACTCAAATGTTGTTGGAATGAGACTCCACAGTGAATCTCCACAGTAAGGAAAATGGTCAGCTTATTCCTAAATGGAAATCCCCAGTTGCCACACCACACCAATCATCTGACATGTAATCTGACTCTCATTGAGCTGGAGTATACTTCAAAGGTCAGGTCTTTGGATAAAGAATTTTATTTTAGTGGGTTATGCAGCAGAAATGCCTAAATCTAGAGTACTGTTTTAGCATTGGCAGAAATAGCTTCTCTTCAAATAGCGGAAGGGAAGAAAGAATGAGGGATTTTAAGCTCAAAGTCTTTAAAAGCATAAGCACATTTTCTAACGTTTCTGCCTGTATCTCATTAAAAAGGTGAATAAAGAAATGGGGGTGGGGATAGTACCACATTCTTCTACTTCCATAGAAGGTGCATACTGGAGTCCTGTAGGCATTATTTAGCTTGCGTTTTAAAAAATTGGAAAATGCCATATTAGAAAAAAAAATCCACATATTTTGGCTTCTCTTAAATTAGAACCTCTGGGCACAGTGGCCTGTTTTCTACGTATAAAAGTAGGCTGGCGCTGAGAATGGACTGCTGTCTTTATACACTCTACAATCTGCCATTCTCTACCACTTCCAAACGTCTTTCACTGGTACTCATTTTTCCTGCCTCATCCCGCAGACAGAAGACTCCTCTAGTTTATGAAACTGACGCAACATGACTTTTTGGTTTTTTTTAGTAGGCAAATCTTTTTTGTTAAGGCACATGGGGACAGCAATGGTTGGTTTTGCTTTCAAACATTCCTAAATCTGCCAGTTTTCAACGATCAGACCCCTAACCTACTTTTTTCAAGAATGGCCAAAAGCATGGAAGTCAGCATCAAAGGACGATCAAGCCAACTGTGTGACCTTGGGTGACTGATAAGTCTTTCCAGGCAAAGGTGACAGTCTGCAAAACGGTGTCCATCGCTGTTACAGATGCACAGCACACGGGATCTTGAAAGGGCTCCCCGAAGTCACGGGCAAAGCCTTCCGCCACAGCGCTTGGGAAGTTGTGTTACTGGAATCCACTAGTTTCACGCTGCTCCTAACCTCGGGAGGATTCTTGGGGGAGAAGGCCTGGAAAACTGGCTAAAAAATAAAGCGAGAAGTTCCTTACGGAAGGCAAAGTTGCTGGCAGCATTTTTAAGATTTCCCGCCCCCTCCTCAGTGACATACCGACTCCCAGCCAAGATGACAGACCCCGCTGCATGACCAGCGCGGGGACCAAGCCCTCGGACACCACGCTTGTGGAAGCTGGGCCCCACCGTCCGGCCAAACCCTCCCGGAACGCCCCCGGACTTCGCTCCGGTTCCCAGCCCCCTCCATCACAACCCCGCTCCTCCTCCACGTGACAAAAGCCGGAACCGTCACTTCCGGCGGCGCGGGCAGTGCGCCTGCGCGGGGTGCGCGGGCTCTGTGAGCGGTTGGCACCATCCGCGATCCGCCAACGGCCGCGAGTGGCGGGCGGCGCGGGTCGGGCGGCGGCGGTGGCGGCTGTAGCGCGGCGGAGTGCGGTTCTGAGGGTGTGCAGCCCGAGAGCCGGCCACTGCCCAGAGCAGCCGCCTTGTCCGCCCCGTCCCTCCTCCCGGGTCGCGCTCCCCGCGCTCACTGAGGCGGCGGGGGCGCGCGGAGGCGGTGTCGGTGTCGCCGCCGCGCTCGGGCCCGCCCCCTCGGGCCCCGCCCCGTCCCCGCCCTCCCTGCCGCCCTCTGCGGGAGCCGGGCAGCTGCAGCGGGGCGGCGGGGCTGGGACTGTGTTCTCCGCGGCGCGCGGAATGTGAGGTTCGGCGGGCCGCAGCGCGCACGGACGCTGGGACGGGCGAAGGGCGGCGACCCCTCGCGGACGCCGGCCCGGGGACTCGCGTTCTCGCTCGCCCCTTTGCCCTCCTCGTGCCCTCCAGCGCGCCGGCGGGACCATGAAGAAGTTCTCGCGGATGCCCAAGTCGGAGGGCAGCGGTGGCGGCGGAGCAGCGGGTGGCGGGGCGGCCGGGGCCGGGGCCGGCGGCGGCCCGGGCGGCTCGTCAGTCGGGGTCCGAGTGTTCGCGGTCGGCCGATACCAGGTCACCCTGGAGGAATCGCTGGCTGAAGGTATGGGGCGCTCGGGGAGTCTCGGGTGGCAGGTGAGGGAGCGCGGGCTGGGGTGTGGCGGTGTCTTGTCGGATCCTCGCCCTGTTGGCCCACTCTTGGCTCTCGTGCCGGCCGGGCCAGCAGAGGCTCCTACAGAGCAGCTCTGAAGCCGGGAGCTCCGATGAGCGCAGTTTGTCTCTCTCAGAGTTTAAATCGTTTTCTGTTGTGCTTGACAAGAGGAAATAAGAAGACGTCCGAGTAAGCGATGTGGTGTCATGATTGGAGCAGTGACTCACTGGAGGGACAGATCGAGCAGGACTGAGGCTCTGCCTTTCCAGCTGGGGCTCAGGCGGGTGTCATGCGTTGGCCTCTTGGTGCAAGCCTGCACCCCGCCACGCAGGGCAGGGACTCCTAGGCCACTGGTGTCCAGCCCGGGCTTGCTTTTGCTAAAAAGGAACGTGTGTGCATGTGTGTGTGTGTATGACTGTATAGACTGGCTGTGCGCGCGTGTGTGTTGATAAATGTGCCCCACATTCAGTCATTTGGTTGCTTCGGGGTACAGGTAAACTCGAAGCCCATTTGTCTCTGTTACTTCGAATCTTTTCTATGGGACAAGGTGCTGGATTTCCTTTCCCAGTGTCTCTCTCTCTCTCTGTCTCTTTTTTAAATTCATTTATTCATATGTCCAGTGTGTCTTTGTTAGTACTTTAAAAGGTGATCTGAAGCAGGAAAACTTTCACTTGTGAAGTCTTGTAGTGGACCTTTCATTGTCTAAAATAGGTTATGACAGCAGGTAGAAGTCTAGTTACAAAAAAAAAAAGTTTACTCTATGTTTTAAAAAACAGATCCTAGACTTTAGTTTTGTATTTCTGATATAATTGACTTGTAGAAAATACAGTTTAAAAATTGCATGCCTCATTGACCTTTGAATTTTTAATTGCAAAGCAATATTACAAACTAAGAATTCATAAATAATTTCTGTTGATAAGTGGCCCTTTTGAGTTTTAAGGTTAAGAGAAAAGAAATTGAAGATTTTTTTTTCTTTTTGAGTTTTGGTTTTCCAAGTTACTAGAGTTAGACATTGATATGGTTTGAAAACAAAAGACAGAGATGAGAGTCTGCTTATACTTTTTGAAATTCTGTAAGCAGTAGTAAATTAATAAAAGAAAATCCTGAAGCTTTTTGTCTATAAAATACTCTACAGGCAAAGAAATACAGAGTTATCAGGGATGGATGTCATTGCTTTGTAAGCTACTGCCCCCAATAAAGTGTCTCCTGAACCTTGGAGAGGTGGCAGGAATATCCTTAGCTTCTCAAGAGTGAGTTATGATTGGTTTTGATAGATTATGCTAAAACTTCTCACTTTACAACACGTGGTTTTCAGGTGTTGGTTTAGGTTGGGTTGTAGGTTTTAAGCACACATGACTATTATTAACTCACATGGCATACTTCTTTCAGTCTTGAGTTGTGTTAGTATTTAATTGAAATGTCGCTTAAGCAGTGTTACTCTTACTTCCTCACTAAGTCCCACCTAGGTCACTTATTTAGTACTGAGGAAACACTGAGATGACATAAATTAAATTTTGAATTTGTAACTTTTACTCTGCCCTAAGCATATCTTATCCCATTTTCGATGAAAAGTAATTTTGAAAAATGAAAACAAAGATGAATTTCAAAAGGAGACTCCTCATTCTACTATAAAAACTAAAAACCTCTTTAAGCCTCAGTGTCACTGTTAAGAGGGTTCCACTGACTTTTACCATAAATTTGTCATTCTGTTTTAAAAATTGACTAATCAAGTGTTAGGAGGAAACAATGGTTGCAGAAACTTTGGGAAGATAAACTTCCTGGTCTTACACTCCAGCTGCTGGGACCAGGCCTTAAGTTTTTCCTGGAGGCCAAGGCTTACTTAGGCTTTCTTTCCTGTGGATTTCTTCTCTTTAGCACACACAACTGAAATTATATTCATTTTACTTTTTGGTCTTAATGGGCTTATTTTTGTTTCAGGCGCTTAATATTCCTATTCCTTTCCAAATAGGTAATGTCCCAAGTTAGACAAAATGTTTAAGCACTTTTTAAGTATGATTAAATAATAACTGGCAGGTCTGTCTGTCATTTGGGGTGAGTAAAACAGTAAAGCTTAGGAGTGTTTTAATAAGGAAGAGATATACCACTGAGTGGAAAAAAATAGTAGGAGCTAAGACAGACAAAAACAAACTTGATAAATTTTACATTTTTTTGCTTTAGGTCAGTGTTATTTAAAAAGGGCCAGGACCTGAGATGCTGTTGTTATGTCACTGCAAACATATGAGGCTTATTCAGAGTGACATCTTCAGGGTCTTTTCAATAACTCAGTCCTTGTCTTTGTCCCTCTGTATAATTAGTTATTTTCCACAAGTCACCATGAACACTGAATTAGCAAATACTAAATAATTGCTTATAGGGAAAATAACAGGGTTAGGTTCCTGCAAGCCTTTGTCTACAACATTTTTTGTCAACTGATGAATACTCAGCCTTGTTTTATGCATGTTGTGTTTAATGACACTTTAACATATGTATATGTGTGTGTGTAGGGATCATCACAGCTTTCTTGGACTTAACGAATACTAGACAGCACTTCAGCACTGTGGTTGGGGGCCATTTTGAACAGTGAAATCACCAATAAAAGCACAACAATGAGAAAAACATGTCAGTAAACTGACCATGAAAAGGACACTTGTGACAGTATTATAGCTGAATTAAGAATATGCAAGTCAAGAGACTCACATTTTTTACCATTATGTGTATATCTTCAAATAATTATGAAAGTGCCACAAATGATGATTTGGGGGATTAAAGTAAATTTTAGCAAGTAGGTATATTGATGAATATAGTATCTCCAATAATGAAGGTCAACTATTGCATATACTCATCCATGTATTACAATAGATACATACATATATTTAAACCTATATATTTAAACATTTTCAGGAGTAAACTTAATTCCTGTAACTAAACTATTGAAATAGTTTCTTCTCTGAAACAAATACTTTGTATCATATTGTTTTTCTAGTTGAGTACATATACTGAATGTCTGAAAATTCTGACAATTGCATCTCGTTACTTTCTACTCACAGTTTAGAGGACTGATGCCATACTGAGGTATTTTCACAAAAATGGTTCAGTTTCAGGAGTCTGTGGTTGCATATTCTAACTTTGGGCTTTAGAAATGAGATAGAGACATATGTCAGTTTTAGCTTGAAACAATGTCAAATTGTCAAGCATATATAATTCAATGTAACTTTCAAGTTTTTAATTAAAACATAGGACTGGTTTGTTCACATGGGTCTCCAAAAGATCTTTGGTGCTAATTTGAAGAATTTAATATTGATTGATAGTGGGAAGTAGTTGGCTGTAGAATAGGGGATTTTTTTCCCCCCCCCTAAATGTTTTTGGTTGAAAACGGACTTAACTGAAGGGAGTGTCAAGACTGGGAGACCAATGAAGATATTGGAGTGGGTAGGAATATACTGTGAGTATGGTGAGGTGGGTAAAACTTACAGGTGTGGTCACGAGGGTTATTAGCCCTGTCATTAACGGAGGCAGGGGATTTACCGGAGTTCTGTAAAAGTAGCTCAGTAGATCTTTTAGAGGTAACTGCTTAGAGTGAGTGAACGTAGGCTAAGTATGAACTCTTTGTTAATTTTACAGTAAGGTAGTAATAGATGTACATCTTATTTTGCAATAGAAATTAGTAAGGAAATGATGGATTTAAGTGTGATATCTCATTTGCAGAAATCATCTGTGGTTACTCAGTAACTTCTAAGTTAATGTTCCCAAGACAGGACACAAAGGACAGAGGGAAGGATTTACAAAAATATCAACAATTGATAATATTTATTAAATGGCTATTTATTAAATACCTCTTTATTACATGCCTTTTGTGTGCCAGGCACCACTAGGTACTACTTATTTAATGCAGCTGTTTCTATGGCCTTAAGGAATTTGTAGTATAGAGTGAAAGACAATGTTAAACAACAGAAAACCATTAGTGTGGTTAAAAATGAAGAGAAAGCTCAGGGTTTTGTGAGAGAACAACTCAGCTTAGATAGGGGATCAAGGAAAGGTTTTTCAAAATTTCAGCAGAAATCTGAAGGATGAGAAGAGTTAGATAAAAGCAGGGGTGTGACCGCGTGGATGGTTTGGAGCAGAGTTTCAGAAACTGAAATATGCTCAGTGCTGTTGACTACAATGAGTGAATCGTTGTAAGAGGGACCTAAGATGATGTTGAAGAGGTGACCAAGGTGCAGGTCTTTGTATGCCATGTTGAGGAGTTTAGATTTTCTCTAAAATGCAATGGGAAATATAAAGGATTTCAATTGGTCAGTTACATACTCTGACTTATATTTTCATGTATCATTCAGATTGCTAGGTAGAAAATGGTTGAGAGGTATACAAATTAAGATAGTTAAATTGGTGACAGTGTGAATGGAGATGTAATGTTAAATTGTTTAAATATGATGTCCTGTGGATTGGACAAGAAGTGTCAAGAATGACTTGCTTATGCAGATCTTGGATGGACATACCATTGGTAAGATAAGTAATGAACCAAGTTTTTAGAAGGTGTTGGGAGGACATCCAGTAGTTGCAGACTTGTTTAGTTGAGGTTTTGAGAGGAAATGTTCAGTGTGAAGTTGGGTAAATGATCTGAAGCTCAGCAGTAGTCTGGACTTAGAGATAGGTACTTCCAATAAGTGAACATCTGGCTATTATTTAAGCCCCACAGAGGAGATGGATTAGGGAGACAGTGTACAATTCACTCTACTGAAGGACTCCTATAAAGTGAATTGGTTCCAAACATGAGTGTTGGTCAGAATCATTTGGAGGACATGGTAAAATCCAGAATGCTGAGCTTGATTCCCAAAGTTGAGCCTGATTACCAAAGTTTGATGGAGTACATCTGGGTAAGTCCTAGAGCTTGCATTTCTCTTGTTTTCCTCAGTGATCTTGTTGCTGCCTGCACCTAGTTCTCACCTTGAGAACACTGACTTAGAGCAGGCAAAGAAGACTAAGAAACAGCTATCAGAAAAATGTAGGATCTGATTCCTGTAAACTCTATAGACTTTTTCAAGAGGGGGAGTGAACAGTTGTGTCTCTGAGAAGTCATCTTACTTTGTCACATGTTTTTGTCCTGAAGTTCAGTTA